AGCGGCTGAATCTGTACGCGAATTATCTCTGTCATCGAAATCTCTACAGGCATTAACAGCTCAACGTGGTCGCTCGCGTGGCCGTGGTTATCGTGGAAGGAACACGTCTCGACCTCCTCGCGGACGAACTAATGCATCCCGAAGTACTCCGTCCACAGCTTCACCAGTGGAATGTCAAATTTGCGGCAAGTATGGTCATTCTGCTGTTAAGTGCTGGTACCGTGGTGATTTCACCTATCAATCTCCTACTTCTGCTTACTCCGCTGAACTTCCACCATCGTCTTCCGATTGGTTACTTGACACAGGAGCTACTGCACATCTCACCGCTGACTCAAACCAGATGTACAATGTCCGACCGTATAAGGGTGATAAGCAGGTCATGGTTGGTAATGGGGATTTTCTCCCAATCACTCATACTGGTCAAGGTTTATTACCCACTCCTAGCCGTAAGCTTCATCTTTCTCCTCTTCATCTTGTTCCTCATTTAACCAAAAATTTAATTTCTGTCAAACGTCTTACTACGGATAATTCCTGTACTGTTACGTTTGATTATAATGGTTATCGTATTCAGGACCCGAAGAACAACCAAACTCTCCTTCATGGTCCTACTTCTTGAGGACTCTATCCTCTTCAAACTAAGCAAGGTCGTTCTCGGGTCGAATCTACCTTTTCAGCCATTAGCTCAAATACTCAACTCTGGCATCGACGTCTTGGTCATCCGTCTCATCCTGTTCTTCTACAGCTCCCGAAATATTGTGATCGTTCCTTATGTTTGTCTTTGTCGTCCACTAGTCAATGTAATACTTGTGATCGCTCTAAAAGTCACAAGTTCCCGTTTGTTCCTTCTTTGTCTAAATCTTCTCATGTTTTAGCTTTAATACATAGCGATGTATGGGGTCCATCACCCTTTCTATCAATACATGGTTTTAAATATTATATGTTATTTGTGGATGACTTCTCTCGCTATACTTGGCTATATCCATTAAAAGCAAAATCTGATGTTGCAACTATTTTTCTTCAGTTTAAACGTTTAGTTGAAAATCAATTCAATAAACGAATCAAATGCTTGCGCTCTGATGGTGGAGGAGAATATGTGTCTAAAACTTTTCAATCTCTTTTATCTCAATATGGCATTCTTCATCAAATTACGTGTCCTTATACTCCTGAACAAAACGGTGTTGCGGAGCGCAAACACCGTCACATTCTTGAGACCACACGAACCTTACTTCTTGATGCAAGCTTACCCAATCAATTTTGGGTTCATTCTGTCACTACTGCTGTGTTCTTAATCAATCGGATGCCCCCTCTTTCCAAACAACACCAATCTCCCTTCCATCGTTTGTATTCCAAACCTCCTGATTATACCACGCTCAAAGTATTTGGTTGTCTTTGTTATCCATATCTTCCTTCTCTTGCTTCAACCAAATTTCACCCAAGATCCTTACCTTGTGTATTTATTGGGTATGCACCCAATACAAAAGGATATTACTGTTTTAACATTGATTATGGCAAAATATTCACATCTCGTCATGTGAAGTTTGTTGAAACAGTTTTTCCTTTTACTCAACTGTTAACAAAACCTGCCCCACCGTCCCCTGCTGTGCCCACTTATACGCCTCCTACACTTCTTGTCCCAAGCATTGTTCAAAACTTGCCTCCCTCAGCAATGTCTCTGTCATCTCCACAAGCAAATGCATCTGTGTCTCCACCTAAAACTCCTCAGAGTTTGCTGCAACCACATCTCACTCCTTCTCTATCCCGTGAATCATCTTCTCCTGGCAGTTCTTTCATGCCTAACAACTCATCACAACCTCCTCCAATTACATCCTCATCAGCTCCACCATTACATCAATCCACTCATCCTATGCTTACTAGGCTACGGACTGGGCATTTAAAACCTAAGCATATTATCAATATGACCACTGATGTTGTTTCTTCTGATCCAACATGCTATACAGAGGCTGTCAAACAGCTTGTCTGGAGGCAAGCTATGTCCAATGAGTTTGCTGCTTTACAACAACAGGGAACATGGACATTGGTTCCCCCACACCCCGATCAAAATGTCTTGGGATGTAAATGGATTTTCCGCACTAAATATCACTCCGATGGCTCTATTGCAAGGCATAAAGCTCGTTTGGTTGCTCTCGGCTGCAATCAACAATACGGTTTGGATTACTATCAAACGTTTAGTCCTGTAGCTAAACTTCCTACCATCCGTGTTTTTCTCATAGTTGCTGCCACTTTTAAATGGAATGTGATTCAGCTAGATATTTCGAATGCGTTTCTTCATGGGACTCTTACTGACACAATTTTTATGTCTCAACCTACTGGTTTTAAAGACTCATTGCATCCGGATTATGTTTGCCATTTGAAAAAGTCTTTATATGGTCTCAAACAATCTCCTCGCAAATGGTTTGAAACCTTTTCTACTTATCTTATCACCTATGGTTTTCATCACAGTGCAGCCAACCCTTCTCTCTTAATATATAATAAGGATGCGAAAATCATTTATATATTGGTATATGTCGATGACATCTTACTAACTGGTAATGATGCCGCCACTATTACTCATCTTCTATCAGCATTGCATAACAGGTTTAATATGAAAAACCTTGGCAGCATATCTTATTTTCTTGGCATGCAAGTATTGCATACGGATGATGGTTTCCATTTATCTCAGTCCAAATATGCCGCTGACATTCTGCAAAAAGCTGGTATGGCTGAGTGTAAACCCATCTCTACTCCCATAGCCTCCAAAACACCTTACAGCGGCTCCATTTCTCTTCCAATTGCCCAGGCTGAGTTATTTAAACAACTTGTCGGCTCTCTACAGTATTTGACTTTAACTAGACCGGACATTTCCTATACTGTGAATAGACTGTGCCAGCATATGCACCAACCTCAAGAGATTCACTTTCAGCTTCTTAAGAGTCTTCTACGCTACCTTAAAGGAACTCTTTCTTTCGGTCTTCCATTGGTCGCGACGACTCTTCGTCTATCTGCTTATTCTGATTTTGATTGGGCTGGTGATCCGGTTGATCGAAAATCTACAACCGGTTATTGTGCGTTCTTAGGCAGCAACCTCATTTCCTGGCAAGTCAAGAAACAAAAGACCGTTGCACGGTCTTCTACAGAAGCTGAGTATCGCGCACTCGCAACTGCTGCAATGGATATCATATGGCTTCAACGGTTATTGGGCGAGTTTGGTATCTCTTCTTCATCTCCTACTACTTTAT